CATCTGCCTGAAGCTCCAAGTCTAATATAGAAGACTCTGAATCTATTCTACAGGGACTTCTTTAATTCTCTTTTGAATTCTTCAGAATATTAACTCCCTCCCTCGGGACTGTCTTTAGCTAAGAACACAAAGGAAGGTGCTTTTTATGTAGGAGGCTTGACCTGTAGAAAGTCCACTGGCTTTATTGATTTTTGTAGTGTGACAACCAGGGTTAACTTTAAAGCAAAGAAGGGGATGGCAATTATAAGACATAAAAAAGGTTTCAACTGATACAACTGATAGGAATACTGAATGTATTTCCATGCTTTTCTTCCATCATAGATGGAAGAAGACCATTCGTGATTCCTTGGTTAGGGAGATAAATGGACAAAGATGAGTAGACTTTTATTCCATTTTTACCCTGCCCCTCCTCCGTCTCATGAGCTAAGACTGCTGTGTTAACATTACAACCAATTCTCTAACCCTAACCCAGCAGAGAATTGAGCCTTGAATTCCCCAGTCTTAATCCAATATTTTAACCATTGCCTTGTTGATGCAGGTTGCTTTGAACAAAGGAAAAGAAAATGTTGAGAGAGAAATAATTATGTTGGGAGTACTATATTAGTAGAATTTTTGGACGCTGGTAATTGTGTGAAAGTAAACCAATATAAACTTTACTGGGGAAGTGGTATTGTGACAGCAATGAAGATAGACCTGTAATAGCAAGGTTATACTGGGTGGGGTGGGCAATGAAACAATGGGGGACAGGCAGTCCCACAAATAGCCTGGTCCTATGCCATAGGTGGTGGACCTGGCAGCCTACTGGGAGCCAATGCGGGTGACGGAACAGCTGTGTTATATGAGCGTATCAGGAGACACCAGTCCTGGAACCAGTATTCCCTTGACCATTCCAAAAGAGTAAGAAGATGATCTCAATATTATCATGCTGGCTGGGGAATTCTGGGAGTTGAAGTCTACATATCTTAAAGTTGCCAAAGTTGAGAAACACTGCTATAAAGCTTCAGCCTTTCCACGTGGAATCAAACATCCACCACAGTCAGGACTGTATTTCTGTGATGACTAGGACTGGCAAGAGCAGAAGAAACAGCTTGAGAGCTGACTAGTACATTACAGAAACAAGGCCCAGGAGCAGCTATTCCTGTTGCCCAAAATGTGAGGCCTTAGCACATTGTACTACATAGCAGCAGAAAGAAACACAGGAATTGAATCTTACTGCTATTATAAATACAGGAGCATCTCCATTTACAGCTGATAGTTGCTGGAATTCTTCTTGATTGCTTCCTTTGATTGATCGATTACATGCTATCAAGTCATTGCCAACTCTTAGCGACCACATAGATGGATTTTCTTCATGATGATCAGTCCCTAACCTGGTTTTTCAGCTCTTCCAATGGCACTCCCATTGCCACTGTAACAATCTATCCACCTTGCTGCTGGTCATCCTCTTCTTCTCTTTCCTTCAAGTGCTTCCTTACTTCTTGCATAAACCTACTGATTGAAGAGATATGTCCTTGAATCGCTACTTCCAAGGCTTCTAATTCTACTGTGGACCAGGAGAAGTCTCACAGTTTTCATATGGGTAGGGTTATATTCAAACAGGACAGAGACTGATCTTGATAACTATATACTGGGGAGTATGATACTTACTTTGATAAATGTACTAAATTATGTACTGGAATTAAGAGCATTTATCTCAGGATTCTACATAGGACAAATGGGATAAATTTTGAAGAAAGGAATTAATGGATGTAAGTTTGACATCAGTACCCCAAACAAGGTCAAAGTAATATCAGGATATTTCAACCTCCCAGGACTCTATTGCAGATTTCAAAGTGTCCATGTTGGAAGAAACATGACTTTAACAAAACAATTGAGCAAGTGATTGCAGAACTCACATATACAAGTATGAAAAGTTTCAGGCTATCTCCAAAAGGCTCAACAAACACAATGGAGTTTAACACTTACAGTTGTTAATCGATCAGGTACTCATAACATTTGTCACATGTAATTTGCATCTGCATAACCAACTTATTTCCCCCACCTTCCCCACCTTATCCCAGTTTAAATCCTACCCAGGTTTAGACACTCATCCATCTGATGAAGTTTCTGCAGGTCACAGAAAAGAGCTTTATTTATTTATTTATTTAGGATATTTATAGTCCACTTTTCACACAGAAGATCCTGTGGCCGACAGTAATCTATAAAATCAAGATCAAGCAAGATCAAACAGGGTCATCAAGTAAAATAAATAATAAATCAAATTAAAACACAACATAATCGTTGTAACAAAGCTACAGAAAATACACAGAGACTCTTGAGATGACATGGCCCAAACCTGTGGGTGAAAACAATGCTGCCCTGATCTCCATGGAAAAGACATTCCAAAGCTGAGGTTCCGTAACACAGGAGACCTTCCTACAGAACTTCATATTGTGCTATTCTTGAAGCCAGGGATTAGACCTTAACTATCACATCACCATTAGGACCAGCTAACATAAACCTATAATAGAAAAAGAAAGAGGAAAAAGGAAACTTAAAGAAAAAAAAGTTTCAATTTATCAATGGAGGAGGAAAGTACATATCAGCA